TTCCGGACCGTGTCGTGACGGGTAAGGCCTGACAATCGTCTAAGAAAGCCCATTTCGCCAGCTTGTACCCAGGTTGAAAGTTTCTCAGTCATTGTCCACGATTCATCACCGTAGGTAAGTATGGGGATAAAGATCGACTTGAATATTGAGAGCTTAGTTTTCGGACTGAGTTCTGCTTTAGTCACAATGAGTCAGGCCAGTTTAGCAGAATGCCACCGGCTACTCCTATTCGCCGGTCGATTTTTTCTTCCAATTTTCCATCAGTAGTAAATACAGTTCCGAGGTACCTGAACTTCTCCACCTGCTCCACTTCCTGTCCGTTAATCTGAAGAGAGCAACGGATATGAGAATGAGAAAGCATCAGGCATTTCTTTTTAGATACGCCGGTCAAGTCCCTTTCGGCTGCGAGTCTTTCAAGGGGCACTGCAGATCGCTTTCACAAGAAGCTAAAAAAACAAGATCGCAGACAACCTTCTTGCCTCAACATCTCCTACGCTGACGCTCTCATAGTGCATGGCTTTCTATTCATGTACAGCACATGAGAGGAATCTAGCACTTTCTTGGCGAAGACCAGTGACAAGGTTAAAAGGCTTCGACTTAACGTCATTTACCCTGACGCAGCACCCGCTATCAGAATAGTGAATCGATACCCTGCAGCAGCTGACTCTCTATTCCTATTTTCCCAGACATGACCACAGGCTATTTCATGGAATGCGGGCATAGGCATTCTGTAGGTCAATGACGATGTCATTCTTTTAATCAAGGTGGGTGGTTTTCTTCCGCCTTTTCCTGCTGAACGTCTGTTCTGCCATGACACAACGCCATGTCGGTCGTGGCAGTAATGGAAAATGCCCGCTGTGGAGATTTTGGCTATCAGGTGTTCGATTTCTTTGCGGCCTCTGGGTTTGTTTTTTGCATGCGATATGCTGGATGCTTCGCCTTTTTCTTGTTTTATCGTAAGCAATGCTTTTAGCCAATATGGCACCATGGATGGCCTGAAATACTTGCTTGGCATGGCACATCGTCACCGTCTTATTAGGATATCCAGCAGTTCAAGTACGCGAAGTGCGGCTAATTTATTTTTATTTCTTTTTTTCTAATCAACTGGCAACGAATGTTAAAGGAGCGGAAAGGAATATAACGGAAATGGAAAGGAACTGCAGAAGATTATGAAACCGGTAGCAATAGAATGGAGCAGAACGCAAGGAACACATTCGCAACGAATCGAACGCGGAAAACCAAATGAACTGAGAAGAAATGAATGAACCGATTCCAGGGGGAACAAAATTTTGAACCGAGAGGAACTAAATGAAAGGAGTGGAACAGCAGGCAACCACGGAATGCAAAAGGACGCAATGCAGGGGAATGGATTCGACGAATTGGAACGGAACAGCAAACAGCAAATAGTAGAATGGGACCGACAGAAAGAAGCGCAATGAAACTCAAGGCAAGGGAGAACGGGACCCAGAGGAACAAAAGCACGAAGCAAATGAAAACCGGAACGCAAGGCAAACCCAAGAAGAACGCAACAGAGTAACCGTCAGGGAGTAACCAGAGTATCAGAATCTATTGGAATTGAACTGATTCGAACAGTTCAAGTACACGAAGTACGGCTAATTCATTCTTATTTCTCTTTACTGATCAAGTGGCAATGAAGAATGTATTAAAGGAGCGGAAAGGAATGAAACGCGAAGGCATGCAAGCGGCATCGGCATCTCGTTAAACGATTTCTCCCAACTGTCATTTCGCGCAAAACGTTATTCATTCCTAGAATGAGGCGGTAAGTTAGTTGGTTTTTCTTTGGCTTTTCCATTGTAACGCCTATTCCGACACAGGTACAACGCCATGCCTCTAACGGAAAATCTCGCTATGAAGTGAGCAGGTTTTTTCGACACGAACAACGCAACGCAAACGGACAGATAGGAAAGGAACGGGATCGTTTTCGGGTGGCGAAGTTGAAGTGATGCCAGTGCACGAGAAATTAAGGCGAATTAATGGCGGATTACAAAAATGAACTGTTCGCCTCTTCTCGGCCGATTCGAACAGAACCGACAGGAACTGGGAGCAAGGGAACGCAGTACGAGAGAACTGATTCGAACGGAAGCGATTGGAACTGAAAGGAACGCACCTGAGAGAAACTGAGTGCAACTGAACCAATTCTAACGGAACCGAGAGCAACGCAGTGCGACGGAAATGAATGCAACGAACGGAGCTGAGCCCCAGAGAACCGATTGAAACGAAAGCGAGAGGAACGGAATGAAAGGGGACCTAGAGGAATGGATTAAAAAAATAAGAAGTGAACGGAGTAAAACCGATCCAAACGAAACTAGGAGAAATGCAACGGAGATCAACGGGTAGGACAACGAGAAAGCACTAGGCTTTTCGTTTTAGATGCGTTCGTTCGCACTCGGCTGCGAACCTTGGAAGGAGCACTGGAGATCAGTTTCAGAAGATGCTGATGAAAAACAACGTCGTCTGCAAACAGCAACCTTCT